GCAGACAAGATCGCTGTTGTATGGATCACATGTCGGGCACTTCCCAAGTGTCTAGGACTGTGTGATGTATCAGCAAATGATGCATGCAGATCCCAGTAAGGTGGCCTTCTGCAGCTGGCAGATGGTAATCTTGTCAGCGCTGATTATGTTAAAGTGCAGGCCAAGGACTTTAGGCACTGCACCCAGTGTGCTGATCACCACTGGGACCACCTTGACTGGCTTGTGCCAGAGTCTTTGCAATTAGATCTTTAAATCCTTATATTGTGTCAGCTTTTCCAGTTGTTTCTCTGCAATCCTGCTGTCACCTGGGATTGCAGCATTGACAATCCATATTTTGTTTTTTAACACAATTGTGAGGTCAGGAGTATTGGGCTCCAAACTTCGGAAGTCCCAGAGGAGTTTGACGTGTTTATTTTCTGTAACATTTTCTGGCTTGTGATTCCACCAGTTCTTTGTCGCAGGCAGATGGTATTTGTGGTACAAGTTCCAATGGATCATCTGAATTAATATTATTATTATTATTACTATTATTATTATTATTATTATTATTATTATTATTATTATTATTATTATTACTAGCCACCCCCCTACCATGCATTGCTGTGGCCCGGTACGTGTATGTATCTTGTGTGTGTATGTGTGTGTATATATGTGTGTTTGCCTATACATATGGTTTTGCACATGCGTTGTAATGTATTTTTTTAAATTTCTGTGGCTTTTTAAGCCTCTTCTGCTATGTTTTCCAATGTTTTTATGGGTGATGGTCACTTCTTGGCCTGATAGGTGTATTGTGCCCAAATTTGGTGTCAATTCGTCCAGTTGTTTTTGAGTTATGTTAATCCCACAAATGAACATTACTTTTTTATTTATATAGATTATTATTGTTATTTGATACATAATATTAGTACACAGCAAACAATATCATTTATGGGTTGTTGTAGGTTTTTCCGGGCTATATGGCCATGTTCTGGAGGCAATTTTTTCTCCTGACGTTTCGCCTGCATCTATGGCAAGCATCCTCAGAGGTAGTGAGGTCTGTTGGAAGTAGGAAAAATGGGTTTATATATCTGTGGAATGACCAGGGTGAGACAAAGGACTTTTGTCTGCTGGGGCTAGCTGTGAATGTTTCAGCTGGTCACCTTGATTAGCATTCAAACAATTAGAATGCTAATCAGCATTCAAACGATTAGAAACAAACAGACACATAAAATCACTCTCAACAAAAGATTCCCCCCAGGCACTTCCAAGCCATTGAACGCTAATCAAGGTGATCAGCTGAAACATTCACAGCTAGCCCCAGCAGACAGGGGTCCTTTGTCTCACCCTGGTCATTTCACAGATATATAAACCCATTTTTCCTACTTCCAACAGACCTCACTACCTCTGAGGATGCTTGCCATAGATGCAGGCAAAACGTCAGGAGAAAAATTGCCTCCAGAACATAGCCATATAGCCCGGAAAAACCTACAACAACCCAGTGACTCCGGCCATGAAAGCCTTCGACAATACAATATCATTTATGCTGGCTTTTGTATTTGATCACACATTGAACAGTTCCCTATTATTATTAAGATTATTATTATTATTATTATTATTAGTAGTAGTAGTAGTATTCAAGTGGTCTCAAATGGCATTGATTCTACAGGGTAGATGCACCCTTTCTCTTTCTTTTTCCTTTACAGAGGAGCACACTCTTTCTCTCCTGGATGTAGACCTGATCTGGCTCAGGGCCTTTCTCGATTTCCAAAGGAAACCACCAACTCCAAGTTGTCCCACGAAAGGGGCCATTGCCTCACTTCTTCCACGTTTCTACCAAGACAAAGAAACCTATTTTGCCAGGAATCTCAGGAACCTAGAGGACCATCGCTTGCTGCCTCCTTTTGTGTGCAAAGAAGCCCATGTTGGAACAATGAAGGAGCCAGAACCTTCAACCCCAGAAGCAGAAGTTTGCAATATCCTCGAGGTGGAAAATGTGGCCAAACTACCCAAGGGAGAGATATTGCAAAGTGGCAAATGGGAACCTTTCAGAACCGGGGAACGACACTGGAAAAGCCGTGAGCTTTTGGTGACCCAGCAACCAATTCTCCCAGTGATAGGAGAGATGCCCCCCTGGGATGACACCAAGGCTTTCCTGGCCTCCTTCGAGCAAGTGGCCCAAAGCTGCCAATGGCCAAAGGAAGTGTGGGCAAGCCGGCTTTTGCCCGCATTGAATGGGGAAGCAAAGCAGGCCTTTCAGAGCCTGAATGGCAGCGACAGGCAGGATTACGGGAAAGTGAAGGCGGCGATCTTGAGAGCGGAGGCCCAAAGAGTGGAAGCACAGCGCCAACACTTCCGGCACTTCCGCTGCCAGAGGGTTGAAGACCCTCAAACGATTTACAGCCAAGTCCAGGAGCTTTGCTGTCGGTGGCTGAAGCCGGAGAGGCGCAGCAAGGAGCAGATTGTGGAGCTGCTCATCCTGGAGCAATTCCTGGCCAGTCTTCCCCAAGATTTGCAAGGATGCATCCGAGACGGAGGACCAGAGACCTGCTCCCAGGCTGTGGCCTTAGTGGAGGACTTCTTGGTGAGCCTGAGAAAAGCGGATTTTGTGTGTGATGTTAGTATATTGAATTTCTAGTATGTTGACAAGGGTTCCAGAGGAGCCAGGAAGCAGTCAGCTAAAACAGTTCAACTGTCCATAACCCAACTCCTTAACCCGGTTCAGGGAATTCCAATAGACACAATATCCCTTTCATCATTACATCTACCTAAACCAGTGGTTCCCAACCTTTGGTCCCACAGGTGTTTTGGACTTCAACTCCCAGAAGTCCCAGCCAGTTTACCAGCTGTTAGGAATAAAACAGTCCTTTTAAACAGTCTTTAAAATATGCTTCAAGCCTTCAGAGAGTTGGCAGCTATTTCCTTCTTGGCTGTTTCCAGTCAGTACTCTCTTCACTCTCCTGGGTGAAAGTGGCAGTTAAAACCATTTGTCTCAGCAGCAAGCCAGAGACAGTAGCCAATCAGAATTATGGCTCCTGGCATGCTTGGCCAATCAGCTGCCGACACATGCCTTTCCAGTCAACCCATTACATCATGGTGCCTTTTTACAAATCCCCACACAAAACACTTGGAAGGCCAAAGTTTGATCATGCCTGGTATAAACTGATATTCTGGCAGACCAGCGATAGTATTGCCCAACTCTGCTTTTTTGTTTCCTCATATGAACCTTGTTGTTGTTTGTTGTTCATTCATTCAGTCGTTTCCGACTCTTTGTTACTTCATGGACCAGTCCACGCCAGAGCTCCCTATCGGCCGTCACCACCCCCAGCTCCTTCAAGGTCAATCCAGTCACTTCAAGGATGCCATCCATCCATCTTGCCCTTGGTCGGCCCCTCTTCCTTTTTCCTTCCATTTTCCCCAGCATAATTGTCTTCTCTAAGCTTTCCTTTCTTCTCATGTTGTGGCCAAAGTACTTCATCTTGGCTTCTATGAACCTCACTTAAAAGAAAAATATTGCAGATTATAGACGGTATTTGCTTGCTCTGTCATATTTCCAGACATCAGAGGGAACATTTTCTCTGTTTCAGAGGCCTTTGAAGGAGGAGGACACAGAGACGCTGGATTCAGACGAGCAACCATTGAGTGAGGCAGAGGAGGAGATCACAGAAGAAACCCCTAAAAACTGTGACATGGAAGAGGAGCTGCTTGGTGAGGATACCATCAGCCAGGAGTTGTAGTTTTACAAGGTCTTCAGCCTTCTCTTTCAAAGTGTGCTGGTGCGGCACCAAACTCCCAACTGCTAGGATTCCAGAGTGCAGAGGAATCTCCTTCATTGGAGTCTGGATGGGTTGCTGTGAATTTTCCAGGTTGTATGGCCATGTTCCAGAAGCATTCTCTCCTGACGTTTTGCCCACATCTGTGGCAGGCATCCTTAAAGGGTTGTGAGGTTGTGAAAGCTCACAGCAACCCAGTGATTCCAGACATGAAAGCCTTTGATAACACAGAAATGTAATTGTTTTGAGGGTTGGACTAGGACTCTGGGGGCCCTGGTGCACTGCCATATAATCCAGATTATCAAAGCAGCTAATCCACGTCATCTGTTTTGAACTGGATTACTGGTTTATGAGTCAACACTGCCATATAATCCAGTTCAAAGCAGATAATCTGGATTTTATATGGCAGTGTAGAGGGGACCTGGGATACCAGGGCTCGAATCCATGTTTGGCTTCAGAAACCTAGTGGATATGTCACACTCCCAGAGTTTGTGAGGTCTGTTGGAAACTAGGCAAGTGGAGTTTATATATCTGTGGAATAATGTCCAGGGTGGGAGAAAGAACTCTTGTCTGCTGTAGACAAGTGTGAATGTTGCAATTTGCCACCTTGATTAGCATTGAATAGCCTTGCAGATTCAATGCCTGGTTGCTTCCTGCCTGGGGGGAATCCTTTGTTGGGAGGTGTTAGCTGGCCCTGATTTATTCTTGTCTGGAATTCCCCTGTTTGTTTGTTTTTTTAGTGTTGCTCTTTATTTATGACTGCGACAGCCACTTAGCTCAAGGCTGACTCGCCTAGATGGCCATGCCTGCTTTATACTGTAATACCAAAGGGGGTTGGGTCGATGCACCTGCGGGCACTCTAAATATACAGTAGACTACGTTTAACTGGGATCTTTAATTGTTTTGCTTTAAGGCTGAACTGAGTTACATCTTTTATAAAATGGAACCTGAATTTAAAAAATTTATCATATGAGCAGATGAGATTTTGGGCTTCTACTATCACGATTAATTAACATTCTTCATGCAATACCTACACAGCTTATTGCATAGCCATTTTTTTGATGCAGAGAATATCAATTTTTAAAAATTTTATCTTTTTCGTCCCTCTTCCACTTCCCTTACCTCATCCTACCTACTCTCCCTCCTCCTAATATCTCTTCGCACTCAAGATTCTTCTTCTCTTACTTGTCTTCTTACTTCCTTTCCTCTCTATTACTTCTACTATATCTGCTTCTTTTTTTTTTTACATAAGTATAGCCTCTTCATTTTTTACATCTTCTGCGTTTACTTCCTACCTTTACCTTTCCTCCATTTTCTATCAATCTTCTCCTTCTGCATCCTCACTTACTGAATTACTTATTCCTACTATCATACCTTGTTAAGTCTTCCTCTTCCTACTTCAGTTTAAACTTCTCTCACTATCCTGTCACTTTATTCCTACTTTCCTTGTCTATCCTATTAATGTACTCTTACCAGCTATGCACATCAGGCCCCTTAACTTCTCTATCCTTCTCTATATTACTCTTCCTCTCTCTTCCTCTTCTGCCTTCATTTATAATGTCAGGTTGTCTTTCTATTTACCTCTTCTGCACTTTCTTCTATTCTCCATAAACTCTCTTCTTACATTCACATTTCCCTCTCTCCTCTATTATCCAGAGTAAGAAACCACTTTAGGCAATTGGTTTGCTTGCCAAAACACTCTTACTACTGTAACATGCCAACTCACAAAAAAAGTTATTAAAACATGCCAAAAAATTAAGAAATTGGGCTTAGAATGGTCCCATCCCATATGCAGTTTTGATGTGTGTAAACAGTCCATATTTTACTGTTTCTTACTATTTATTACTCCTCCCCCTCCCTCCTCCCCTCCTTCCTTCCTTCCTTCCTCCCTCCCTCCCTCCTCCTTTACATTCCTTCTTTCATTCTTTCCTTCCTGACTTCCTTCCTTCTTTCCTTTTCTTCCTTACTTCCTTCTTTTCCTCCTTCCTCCCTCCCTTCATTCTTTCCTTCTTCCTTCTTTCTTTTCTTCTTCTTCTTCTTCTTCTTCTTCTTCTTCTTCTTCTTCTTCTTCTTCTTCTCCTTCTCCTTCTCCTTCTCCTTCTCCTTCTCCTTCTCCTTCTCCTATATTTATTTCTATCTTGTTTTCAAAAGAGACCCAAAGAAGCTAATAGTAAAAACAATAGAATATACAATTTAAAACCTATAAACCATAGAAAGCTTAAAATTGGATTAAACATCAGAAGTATTAAAAGTAAGCTGTCTAAATCATTAAAAACCTATCAACATACTGAAAACACTTCACTGCAGTACCTTTCTCCCAGCACAGGACTGAAGGCAGCTTGCAATAATTTAGAACAACGTTAAGCTAAAACATACAGATGTTTATTTTAAAATTCTACAGTAGACTCTCAGTTAACTGGGATTCAAGCAACTGGAACTTGAAAAAAGTTTGAAAAAATAATATTTAAAATTAAAACAAAATATTTTAGGAAAAATATAAGTTAAGTTAGTTTGTCTTAATTTGATTTTAATTGCGGTATTTTGATATTAATATCAAGTCAGTGCAAAGTTTATGGTATGGGGTATAGTATGAGTTTGGCCTGGTTTTGATAGTAACTCTCAAGCAACCAAAAACTTCATTTATCTGGCATTTACCAACCTGCTGTAGTTCTGTTTTTGAAAACACACAGCTGAAAGAGTTCCTTTTCTGACATCTCCTTTCCACCCTTTGCAGGCAGTGCAAACAAGCAGCCAGGTCTCCCAGGTTCAACACTTATCGAAGGACAGGAAGTGATGGAAACGGGGCCAAAAGAGGTATGTGCCATTCCTGCTGGGATCAGATCACTGGGTATAATAAGGCCAGGACTATACTGAGATCAGGGTAACCAACAGAGCCTCCCATGAGCCTTCTTTATATAGTTTAGTTCCTTTTAAATAAGAATCCCTTTCACCATATACAGTTGTAATATTATCCTATAGCACATGTGTCAAACTCAAGGCATCCTAGTCTCCAGGGCAGCAGAAAACAAGCTTTCTCCCTCCTCCCTGTGACTTCCTTTCACATATTTATACATGGCTATCACGTCTCCTCTCATCCTTCTCTTCTTCAAGCTAAACATGCCTGGGCTTTAAGCCGCTCCTCATAGGGCTTGTTCTCCAGACCCTTGATCATTTTAGTCACCCTCCTCTGGACACATTCCAGCTTGTCAACATCTCTCTTCAATTATGGTGCCCGGAATTGGACACAATATTCCAGGTGTGGTCTAACCAAGGCAGAATAGAGGGATAGCATGACTTCCCTGGATCTAGACACTAGACTCCCAAAATCCCATTGGCTTTTTTTACTGCCGCATCACATTGTTGGCTCATGTTTAAGTTGTTGTCCATGAAGACTCCCAAGATCTTTCAAAAGTTACTTTTGGAATACAACACTTGCAAAGTTCTTTCTGGGAGAAGCTACTTTTATTTATGTATTTATTTACATTATTTCTATCCCGCCCATATCAGTCCAAAGGCAACTTTTCCCAAGCTTGGGACAGCGGGGATGCAAAAGAACCTGGTGGATGAGGAGGTGTGGTTTTATTTCTCCCCCCTTTGTAGAGCTCTGTGAACCCCAACAAAGCAAGAGGTGTGACGTCGCATGCCGTGTTGCCGGCTGTGGCTCGGCCCAAGCCACTGATCACCTTCTGGCAAGTCCAGCAGGAGAACTGGGGGAATGTCATTGGTTTGGGTAAGTGTCCCTTTCATCAACATAAAGGTCTCCAAGGGCTCGTCTACCTGAGCCACAAAATCTGGAGACAGTCTGGAGGCACAGGACTGTCAACAAAGGAGCCCAGCAATAGCCAGGATGGGTTGTTGTGAGTTATCAAGGTTGCATGGCCATGTTTCAGAAGCATTCTCTCCTGACATTTCGCGTGCATCTATAGCAGGCATCCTTAGAGATTGTGAGGTCTGTTGGAAACTAGGAAAATTATCAAAGCATCTAATCTACACTATCTGTTTTGAACTGGATTACTGGTTTATAAGTCAACACTGCCATATAATCCAGTTCAAAGCAGATAATCTGGATTTTATATGGCAGTGTAGAAGGGGCCTAGGATACCAGGGCTCAAATCCATGCTTGGCCACAGAAACCTAGTGGATATGTCACACTCCTAGAGTTTGTGAGATTTGTTGGAAACTAGATAAGTGAGTTTTATATATATGAAATGATCCTAAATTGCAAGGTGGGACGCAGGGGCATATACGAGGGGTATTTTTTCAGTAAGGTCCGTTTTGTTGTAGACACTAGTAGTTCGCGCGCATACGCAACGAGCGCGTGCATCGTGTACTGGCATGCCTCGGGAACAACTGTGCTCAGTTTCCATTCTGTAGCTAACCTGTACGGTTCTGTCCTGTGCTTTAAAAATGTTTAAGACTATCAACTCACCCTCCGCATGTGAGGTTCGCTCAGTGATACGGTTTTTGTCAGCAAGGAACCTGCCTGCTGCAGAAATTCATCGACAGATTTGTGAAGTGCACGGTGATACTGTTATGAGTGAAAGCAAAGTGCGTAAGTGGGTACGGCAATTCAAAGATGGCCATGAGAACGTCCATGATGAGGACTGCTCCAGTCGTCCTTCTTTGATTACAGACAATTTGGTGGCTTCAGTTGAAGCGAGGATTCGTGAGAACAGGCGCTTCACAATAACAATAATAAAAATGTTGAATTGTCGTACCCACTTACGCACTTTGCTTTCACTCATAACAGTATCACCATACACTTCACAAATCTGTCAATGAATTTCTGCAGCAGGCAGGTTCCTTGCTGACAAAAACCGTATCACTGAGCGAACCTCACATGCGGAGGGTGAGTTGATAGTCTTAAATATTTTTAAAGCACAGAACAGAACCGTACAGGTTAGCTACAGAGCGGAAACTGAGCACAGTTGTTCCCGAGGCATGCCGGTACACGACGCACGCGCTCGTTGCGGTATGCGCGCGAACTACTAGTGTATAACAAAACGGACCTTACTTAAAAAATACCCCTCGTATATATGTGTGTGTGTATATATATATAGAGAGAGAGACACATAGATACATACATAAATACACACACACGTAGGGACGTATATATGTTGTGTGTCTATGGCATTGAATGTTTGCCATGTATATGTATATTGTAATCCGCCCTGAGTCCCCTGCGGGGTGAGAAGGGCAGAAAATAAATACTATAAATAAATAAAATATAGTTGGGAGAGACTGCAAGGGGGGAATCTACTCCAAACCCCTACCATGCAGGGACACACAGGTAAAGCACTCCCGAAAGAGGCTCATGCAACCTCTGCTTTAATTTTCCTTCCTCTTTGCAGGCGATGGGAAGGAAACTCGGAACAAGACAGTGAATCCCCGGCTGGAAAGAAACAAACCAGGGGAGGCTCTGAGAGCAGCCCTGTTAGAAAACCTAGGGAATGTGACGGTGAAGAAGGAGGGCGAAGAAGAAAGATGTGAACTGGAACAACAAAGCAAGCAGTCTTTGGAGATTAAGACTGAATGGATGGAGCTCTCCGAAATGCATACAGCCACCTCGTCTCCAGACAAGGAGCAATTGCCCTTGTTCTCCAAATACGGTCGAAAGTATCGCTATGTGCCGGAATTCGATGGGATCCTTGCTGACGAAGCCCGCCACAGCCCTCCTGCGTCAGAGGGAATCGTCCAACGAAACGAAGCTCATCCAACCTTAAGAGGAGAGAGAAGGCCCAGCCTCACTGAATATGAGGGGAGTGACGGCGTGCAAACACAGTTTTGGACTCAAGCTGAAGAGATGGGTACTAGATCCGATGGGTTTGGGGTGAACTTCGGTTTCTCGGAACCGCTCCAGCACGACCCAGGAATCCAGAGCAAAGTGAAGCCGTTCCAGTGTTGGCAGTGCGGGAAGCACTTCAAAAACAGGGACTCTGCGAACCGGCACGGGATTGTTCACACCGAAGACAAGCCGTTCGGGTGTCCGCACTGCGACAAATTCTTCCGCTTCAAAAGAGATTTCAACCGGCATCAAGTCACCCATACGCGAGTGAAGCCTTACAGGTGCCCCGAATGTGGCAAATGGTATTCCCGAAAGGATTCCTTGGCTATCCATCGGAGGTCTCACCAAAGTTAGACAAACGGCTTTCGATCGGGAAGGTAAATTCCATCGGAATCAGAGCAAGTCGTCTTTTCGTTTTGTCCACGGCTGGATCCGCATTGCAGAATGGTCGCCGTTTGACACCACAGTAACTGTTGTGGAGTTTTGGGATTTGTAGTCTTGTGAAATGTTTACCTTTCTATGGCCCTTTCTGCACTGTTCAAAGCAGATACTCTACATTATCTGCTTTGAACTGGATTATATGTCCAGTTTGAACTGGATTATGAGTCCAGTTTGAACTGGATTATATGAGGAGCTCCCGGTGGTGCAGTGGGTTAAAGCACTGAGCTGCTGAACTTGCCGACTGAAAGGTTGCAGGTCCAAATCTGGGGACCGAGGTGAGCTCCTGCTGTTAGCCCCAGCTTCAGCCAACCTAGCATTTCGAAATGTGAGTAAATCAGTAGATACCACTCTTGCAGGAAGGTAACGGCGCTCCATGCAGTCATGCCAGCCAAATGACCTTGGAGACCTCTATGGACAATGCTGGCTCTGTGGCTTAGAAATGGAGATGAGCACCACCACCTGGACACGACTGGACTTAATTTCAGAGGAGACCTTTACCTATATGAGTCTATAAGGTAAAGGTAAAGGTAGTCCCCTGACATTAAGTCCAGTCATGTCTGACTCTGGGGTGTGGTGCTCATCTCCATTTCTAAGCCGAAGAGCCAGCGTTGTCCGTAGATACCTCCAAGGTCATGTGGCCGGCATGACTGCATGGAGCGCCGTTACCTTCCCGCTGGAGCGGTACCTATTGATCTACTCACATTTGCATGTTTTCGAACTGCTAGGTTGGCAGAAGCTAGGGCTGACAGCGGAAGCTCACACCGCTCCCCGGAATCGAACCTGCGACCTTTCGATCAACAAGCTCAGCAGCTCAGTGCTTTAACCCACTGCGCCACCGGGGGCTGAGTCTATACTGCCATATAATCTAGTTCAAAGCAGATAATTTGGATTTTATAGGGTAGTCTAGAAGGGCCTCTGGCTGAGAGCCCTAGTGCCACAACAGACTACAAATCCCAGGATTCTAGGATATGGAACCACAGCAGTTAAAGTGGCGCCAAACTGCTATAATCCTGCAATGTGGGTTGTCTCCAACAGACCTCTCTGTATGTAATGAAAGCTTATCTATATTTGTTGTAATGTAGAGATCTATTCTAGACTGGAGCTACATTGCTATATAAAATCCAGATTATCTGCCTTGAACTGGATTATATGGCAGTGTGGACTCAATATAATCCAGTTCAAAACAGATAATGTGGATTATTTGATTTGATAATCTGGATTGTATGGCATTGTAAATCCATCCCTAGATTGTTCCGTTACTAAAATAAAATAAATTCATAGAGTCATATATCCAGCTCAGGGAATAGATAGCAAACCACTTATCTTTTGTCTCTTTTAGAGTAGCCTTTATACTACCTCAATGTCCTCCTGTTTGTTATTCTCTGCCTATCTCTGCCCATGTTATACAAAACTGATACAGTAGAGTCTCACTTATCCGACCTTCCTTATCTGACCTTCGCCGTGTCGGACGGGTAACAGTAGGAGACTCCGTATTATCCGACATTTTCGTTTATCCGACGTTCTGCCGGCTCGTTTATGTCGAATAAGCGAGACTCTACTGTAACACCATTACCCCAAATCCCTCGGCAGACATGGCCAGTAGTTAGAGAATTAATGTTTCTGTATTTTTAAAGATTGTATTATATTAACTACTAAACAAACACTATAATAAAAAGAACAAAAGAAACATGCAGAAAAAATACTGCAAACAAGACAATCCTCCATCTAAACTTTTTAATACTTCACTTTCCAAGACAACTCATATAAAACAAACTTCTCATTGCTACTTCAGTAAATTTAAACTTCGGCTAAAAATCAGCCCAGACTTTGAATCTTGCAAAGGGAGGTCCCTTATTCCTTCCCCTTTCTTTTTTGAAGATAGCAATCGTTCCCAATCTTTTTAATAATAATAATAATAATAATCTTTATTTGTATCCTGCCGCCATCTCCCCGAAGGGACTCGGGGAGACTCACAAAAGCACTCAGTGATACAACATGCACAAAGTACAAGTACATAGCAATAAGACATTTAACAAAATCAATTTACAACCAAAATACATAAAATATCATATAAAGCAGGTATGGGCAAACCCAGGCCCGGGGACTGGATGCGGCCCCATAAGCTCTTTTCTCAGCCCCTCTTTTCTCTCACCATCTTATCCTTCCTTCCTTCTGTCTCTCTTTCCTTCCTTCTTACCCACCTCTTTCTCCTTCCCTTCCACAGTTTCGTCCTTCCTTCCTCTTTTCTTCCCTCTTTCTTCCTCCCTCTTTCCTTCCCTCTCTCCCTCTTTCTCCTTCCTTTCTTCCCTTTCAACCTTCCTTCCTTTCCTCCTTCTCTTCCTCTTTCCTCCTTCTCTTCCTTCCCTTTTTCTCCCTCCCTCCATTCCCTTCCTTCCTTCTTTCTCTCTTTCCTCCCTCCCTTCCCTCTTTCCATCTCCCTCCATTCCCTTCCTTCCCTCCCTTTTGTCTTTCCTTCCTCCTTCCCTTTCATCCTTCCCTCTCTTTTGTCTTTCCTTCCTTCTCTCTTTCCTTATTCCCTACTTCCTTCTCTCCCTCTTTCTCCTTCCAGCCTTTTCTTCCATGCTTTATTCCTTCCTTCCTTCCCTCTTTCCTCTTTCTCTCCTTTTCTCCTTCTTTCCTTCCCTTGCATTTTTATTTCCTTCTTTCTCTTTCCTTTATCCTTCCCTTTCTTTCTTTCTTTCTTTCTTTCTTTCTTTCTTTCTTTCTTCCATCCTTCTCTTCCTCCCTCCCTCCCTTCCCTTTTTCCTTCCTTCTTCCTCCTTTCTTTCCGTCCTTCCCCTCCACTCTTCCTCCCTTTTGTCCTTCCTTCCTTGTCTCTTTTCTCCCTCCCTCCATTCCCTTTCATCCTTCCATACTTTTCATTCCTTCCTTCCTTTCTTCCTTCCCTTCTACCTTTTCATCCTTTCTTCCTTCCATCCTCTTTCCTCCCTCTCTCTTTTTCCTTCCTTCCTTCTCTTTTTCCTTCCCTTCCTTCCCTTCCTTTTTCATCCTTCCTTCCACCTTCCCTTCCTCTCTTTCGTCCTTCCTTCCTTCTCTCTTTCCTTCTTCTTTCCCTTCTTTTCTTACGTTACTGGGAAGCCAGTCCTCCTAGCAGGAAGTGCTAACATGTGACCCCAAAGGTTAGAAAGTTTACCCATGCCTGATAAAAAGTCACACTAATTAAAATTGAGTAAAATGCAGTAATGACTGCGAATATAAAGTACATATAAATATAAACAAATCGCTCAGTCCTCGGGTTAATTACTTTAGATTCTGGACATGGTCGAAGGCCTGTGTTTTCAGATGTGTTCGGAAAACTTGAACAGTGGGGGCTATTCTAATCTCTCTAGGAAGGGCATTCCAAAGCCAGGGGGCCACCACCGAGAAGGTCCTCTCTCTCGTTTCCACCAACTGCGTTTGAGGCGGAGGTGGGACAGAGAGGAGGGCCTCCTTAGCAGAGCTTAGAGCCTGTGCCGGTTCATAAAAAATTATCTGCAGATTTTTCCTTAAATCAAAATAGACCATTTGCCCATCTTTGCCATTTCAGAAGTGTTTGCAACTCACTCGGCCTTCTTCCATTCTTGAGCATAAATCAGTCTGGCCACAACGCCTTAAAATTCATCTCTTTCGTTTTTTAGTTTGGAAGACCCAATTAAAAATAGTTTTTAAAGAAACCCTTACATTAAGAAAAGGATTTGTTGTCCAGTTGAAGTATTGTTACTGGTTTATGATGGCCATTATCAATCCACTAGACTAAAAAAGTAATATCCTTTAGGTTGGCTTGGATGTTAACTGTGAATAAACTTATTTTGTATTAAACCTTTGTTCCTGCCTTTGTTTGGGAAGTGAAGATGGAGTGAGATTAATACCTCTTGGATGGCTCCAAGTTCCTCCCTCCCTAGAAAAGAACCAAATTTTGGGTCTTCATCTTCAAAAATAAATCAGTCTATCACAGCGTTTCTCAACCTGGGGGTCGGGACCCCGGGGGGAGGGGGTTGTGAGGGGGTTGCAGAGGGGTCACCAAAGACCATCAAGAAACATATATTTCTGATGGTCTTAGGAACCCCTTTGGCAGAGAAGACTGAAGATCTCTCTGCCTGTCCTTCTCTTCCTTTTTGGAAATAGACAGCAAATCCTCCCACCAAAAGCCCTCCTCTGCTGTGATTGGCTGGCCTCTCAGCCAAGGGGAGGGCTGTTTCTGACACTGCAAGTGGGGAGGGGAGAGCAGGTATGCTCGGCACATTGCAGCGTGGTGCACACATGCAGGCAAGGGGGAGCGTGCAAGGCTGGAGGGAGGCTCAGTCCAGTGAGCCCTTCAAGTCATGGTGGTTCTGTGTGGGAAGTTTGGCCCAATTCTGTTGTTGGTGGGATTCAGAATGCTCTTTAAATCCTCACTACCTCTGAGGATGCTTGCCATAGATGCAGGCGAAACATCAGGAGAGAATGCCTCTAGAATATAGCCATGTAGCCCGAAAAAACCTACAACAACCCAGTGATTCCGGCCATGAAAGCCTTCGACAATACAACTGGATACATTTCTGCCAACGATAAACAAGTTTTCTGAAGCCATCATGGAAGAAGTCGACACTCGTTTCCGCAACCAGCGACTCAGAGTTCTCTCGGCATCTTCATCAGAAGCATAAACCAGAATGCTGCAGCCAGGTTACTCACAAAAACACCCATGAAATGCCATATAACACCAGTGCTGCGGCATCTACACTGGCTCCCAATTGAGTATCGTGGTTTGTATAAGATGCTGGTCCTGACCTTTAAAACTTTATATGGCCAGGGTCCATTGTATCTTAGAGACCGTCTCTCCTTCTCCCATCATCAGAGGTCGCCACGACCATCCCAACGCGATTTGGGAAGTGCACTTGGAAAGCACCAGGCGCAGGGCCTTCTCTGTTTCTGCCCCTGCCTTATGGAATTCCTTGCCTCCCTATTTGAGAGCCATGCGTGACTCAGGGCATTTGATCCTAGCACTTAAGACCTGGCTTTTGACTAGAGCATTTGACCCATGTTAAT